CTTAAACTCAGTATCCTCCTGCCTCCATCCCCCAAGTGCTGGGGAGTGCCAGCTAATTGCCCACATGCTTTTATTTCCCTCAAATAAGTATTTGAGGGAACTGTGGGTTCACTGTTGGCTCTGGCTGCTGTGGTTGCCCGTGTTTCTGTTTTGTTTCGGGATTTTGGTTGTTTTCGACTAGCAAACTGTTTCTGAAAGTGATGGCATCATTTAACATTCCCATTGGGAGTGGAGGAAAGTTCCAGATGCCCCCACGTGTTCCCAGTGTGATATAAATACATTCTGGAGAAATAAACAAGAGAATGGCAGTCTCTCGTCTCCTGGAAACAACTCACTGTCCTCAATGTGAACGTGACTCAGAGGCTCCTTTGGAGTTTACTGGGGGAGGAGAGGACAACTCAGGAGGATGACGAACCCTGAGGAAATGCTGAGTTACCCCAGCCTCAGCCTCAGCTTAAAATTTGGGGTTTGTTAAAAATTAAAGATTCTGGATCGGTGTGTTGGCACACGCCTTTACCCCCAGCTCTGGAGAGGCAGAGGCAAGTGGATCTCTGTGAGTTCGAGGCCAGCTTGATCTACAGAGCAGGTGTACACAGAGAAACTCTGTCTCAAATATTTCATACATCATGTGTCAAAATGTCATAATGAAGATACTAAATACTTAAAATTAATAAGATTTGGTCTTGGATATCCCCTTCTTCACATGTGTAGATTTGGTCTTGGATATCCCCTTCTTCACATGTGTAGATTTGGTCTTGGATATCCCCTTCTTCACATGTGTAGCAGATTAACCAAATGTCATAGTCTAAACGTCCCCTCTGGGCTCGGACAGTTTCAACATTGTGGAATTTTGGATAAAGCCCCAGGGGAAGTGATGCCCTGCCCTTCTGACCCAAGCTAAGCTCAAAGCCCTGCTAGAATGGGGGAGGGGAGCCCCTTGTCCTAGCCTATGCCCACCTTCCCAACCCCTGCCTCTGCTCAAGGCTCAGCCTCTCCCTGACAGAAAGCTTCAGGTCCTAGTCCTTGCAGTCAGACCCTTCCCTCCCTCCCTCTTTGAATCCCAGCGGCTGCTGAGATTCACTGATCCCAGACCTGATGCCCAGCTTGTACTGGGCCTCATGGAAGAGTCTCCATACTTGCTGAATTATATCAAGGTGTGCGTGGGTTTTAACTCCAGCTCCTCCCAGTTGATGGGTTTGGTTTTGTTGCTTCCTGATAGACATTAAACGTTACCCTCCTAGTCACTGACCGGCACCAAATTTGTTTTCTTTTGAGACAGGATCTAACTGTATACACTTGGCTGCCCTGAAGCTCCCTGTATAGACCTAACCCACAGTGCTCTCTCCCTGAGTGCTGGCGTTAAAGACATACACCACCACACCTGACTCCAAATCGGTTATGAAACTGAATTCCCCTTTGAAATGTTTTTTCTACCCACGAGCGCTCTTGTGTGTAACAGGGATGCTGTTAGAATGGCTCTGGGTCTGAATCAGGTCCCTCCTCCTACTGTGTGGTTTCCAGAGATTAAACGCTGGTTAAAAGTGGCAACAAGCAAGTTTACCTTTGGAGCCGCTATCTCAAGAGTTCTAGGTTCCTTTTTATTCTCTAGCAGGAAGTGAATCTCTGGATCCTTAGCAATGTAGGCAATGCCCAACCCTGGACACTGTCCCTTCCTTTACCCATCTTCTCCAGAACTGCTGGGACAAACATACTGTTTGTGTTAGTTTACATTTTATTGGGTAGCCAGGCGGTGATGGCGCATGCCTTTAATCCCAGCACTTAGGAGGCAGAGAGGCAGGTGGATTTCTGAGTTCGAGAGTTCGAGGCCAGCCTGGTCTACAGAGTGAGTTCCAGGACAGCCAGGGCTACACAGAGAAACCCTGTCTCGAAAAACCAAAACAAAACAAAAAAACAAAAAAAAATAAAAAAAGCAAAAAAATACATTTTATTGGGTTATAATTACATACAGTGAAGTTCATAAATATTTTTTATTACATTTATTTATTTATTTTCGTGCACGGGTTTATTCCCGGCATTCTGGAGGCAGAGACAGATGGACCTCTGAGTTCGAGGCCAGCTTGGTCTACAGAGTGAGTTCCTGGACAGCCTAGACTGCACAGAGAAACCTTGTCTCAAAATAATAATAATAATACACACAAAAAGGAAATGTATTCACAATTGTGCAGCCAAGCCATTCTGTCGTCTGATTGTCGTGCTGGCCCCTACAGAAGCAGGTCCATCTTTGCTCTTTCCTTCATTAATTTCTATTTCTACAGACTTGCCTGAGGAGTTCTTATGAAAGGAAGCATAGGACGGGCAAATCTTGTGACTGGATTTATTTAGTCTATCTATCTATTTATCTATGAATCAATCTATCTATCTATCATCTATTTTGTAGAGCATCTTCTACCTCTGCCTCTCAAGTAGCTGGAAATCACAGCTGTGTCCCACCACGCTATATGTGGTGCTGGGGTTCGAACCCAGTGCTCCGTATCCGCTGGGCAAACCCTCTGTCTTCTGAGCTGCACCTCCAGCCCCTTTGCCTTCCTTGCTTCTCTGTGCTGGAGGTCACAAGCCATATGCTCTGCACTCACTGAGCTCCTGCCTCAGCCCTCCTTTATTACTGGGGACACAGTTGTGAAACCACTGCTAGTAGTCAGTTCCCTATGGGAGGTGCAAGGCTCAGGAACATTCCGTGGGTGTATTTTCTGAAATGCAATGTGCCCATTATTTTTCCAGTTCTGAAGCAGAGAGCCCGGAGATGACGGAGATGATGCCAGCTATTGAAGCGAAGGAGGGTAGATTGCGCACTGTTTGGACAGGAAGGAGGGGGTTCAGCTGACATCTGGGGGACTCATACATATTCATGAGGAGGACAGGGATTGGACCGTCGTCCTCAGAGCATTCTGGGACACTTTCCAGAATGTCTGGTTACTAGGCAGAGTTCCCAGGAGTTGTGGCTCTATCCCTCCGCTGACAGCTTCATCCTTCAGTTCCTGCACATAGCCTTCTGGTGTCTACAGGAGATGGCTCAGAATCACGTGCATCTTAACCTGTTTGTTTGTTTGTTTGTTTTTCTAGAAAACTCTCATTTTTTTTTCTCTCCTAGTTCTACCTAAGAAAGTAAATACCCGGGCTGGAGAGATGGCTCAGTGGTTAAGAGTACTGACTGCACTTCCAGAGGTCCTGAGTTCAAATCCCAGCAACCACATGGTGGCTCACAACCCTCTGTAATGGGATCCGATGCCCTCTTCTGGTGTGTCTGAAGACAGCTACAATGTATTCATATATAATAAATAAACAAATAAATCTTTTTTTAAAAAAGTAAATACCCCACCCAGCATGGTGGCACACACTGTAACCTTAGCATTTAGGCAGTGGAGGCAGGAGAAGCAAGAGTTTAAGGTAATTCTCAGCTACATAGGGAGTTCAAGGCCAGCCTGGGCTACACAAGACCTGTTTTAAAACTGAAGCCGGGAGCCAGGTGGTGGTGGTGGTGGTGCATGCCTTTAATCCTTGTGAGTTTGAGGCCAGCTTGATCTACATAGTGAGTTCTACAACAAGAGACGCTGTCTCAAAGCAGCCCAAAATACAAAAATACAAAAGAACCTATCTGACAATCTAAAGCATGGGCAGGGTGGGGGTAGAGGGGTAGGGGGTGGCGAGGGGATATCTGTGAGTTCCAGGATGGTTACAGTTACATAGTAAGACAGACCTATCTCAATAAATAAATAAATGAATGAATAAAAATCCAATAGCGCCAAGACAAGCAATTTATAGTGTGTTGGGGGAGGGGCATGGATTGAAATGCCTACCTTCGCTGGACAGTGATGGCACACGCCTTTAATCCCAGCACTTGGGAGACAGAGGCAGGTGGATTTCTGAGTTCGAGAGTTCGAGGCTAGCCTGGTCTACAGAGTGAGTTCCAGGACAGCCAGGGCTACACAGAGAAACCCTGTCTCGAAAAAACCAAAACAGAAAAAAAAAAAAAAAAAAGAGAAGATGCCTCCATCAGCCTGGGGACAATCTTCTTGACTGACGATTCATGCTGAAGGGCACAGCTCACTGTGGCTAGTGTCACCCCTGGGCAGGTTGGTCTGGGGTATAAAAGAAAACAGAGCAGGCCAAGGGAGCAAGGCAGCAGGCATCTTCCTCATGGCCTGTGCGTCAGGGCCCCGCCCTGACTTCCCTCCGTGACGCAGTGTGACTTGGATGCTTGAGACGAACCCTTGCCTCCCAAGTGGTTTGACCATAGTGTTTATTCCAGCAATAGCTACCCCAGCTGAGACACCCACTGATGGCACAAGGCTAAGCTCCTTACTAGAGAGTGCAAAGGCACTGCTGAAGATGGGTCAGCAGTTAAGAACACTGGCTGCGCTGGGCGGTGGTGGCGCACGCCTTTGACCCCAGCACTTGGGAGGCAGAGGCAGGCGGATTTCTGAGTTCGAGGCCGGCCTGGTCTACAGAGTGAGTTCCAGGACAGCCAGGGCTACACAGAGAAACCCTGTCTCGAAAAACCAAAAAAAAAAAAAAAAAAAAAAAAAACACTGGCTGCTTTCACAGAGGACCTAGGTTCAAGTGTCAGCACCCACATGACAGCTCATAACCGTCTAAGCAATTCCAAGACACCCAACACCCTCTCTGGCCTCTGCAGAGAGCAGGCAAGCACGTGGTATACTGACAAACATTCAGGCAAGGCACCCATCCCCACAAAACAAGATAATGATGAAAAAAGTGTGATATGAATAGTAACACTAAGGGGTCCAGAACATGATCAAACTGATCAAAAGAATAGAAACACGCACATATCCGAAGTAAGGGCTAGAGATGGTTCAGTGTTTGAATGCTTGCTGTTCTTCTTCATTTAAAGATTATTTATTTTACGTATATGAGAGCCCATTTTGCATGTACGCTGCATGCAAAAGAGGGAATTGGATCCCATTACAGATGGTTGTGAGCCACCATGCAGTTGCTGGGACTTGAACTCAGGACCTCGGGATCTCTTAACCACTGAGTCATCTCTCCAGCCTGCTTGCTGCTCTGCTCTTCTAGAGGATTCCCAGTTGATTCTGGCTCTTAACACCCACGTTAGGTTGTTCACAAGGGCCAGTAACGCCACCTCCAGGAGACAGCCTCGTCCGGCTTGTGTAGACATCTGAACACACAAGGAACAAACTAACATGTGCATGTAAATTTAAAAACGTTAAAGCGACAAATTCATCTTAAGCACTTGAAAAAATGCAAATTAGTATTCGTGTTATCAGAAGCACGGAGACTTAGAGAATACTATTCTTTCTTTTGGGTTTGGTTGTTTTGAGATAGGGTTTCCTGTGTGTAGTCCTGGCTGTCCTGGGACTCACTCTGTAGACCAGGTTGACCTCAAGCTCTTAGAGATCTGCCTGCCTCTGCCTCCCAAGTGCTGGGGCTAAAGGCTTGTGCCACCAGGCATGCTTGGAAACACACTTTCACCATGAAAGTGACAAAGATCTAGAAGTCTGAGAAAGGACTCATGGACAAGAGAATGTCACTTTGTATCTGTGGTGCGGATGGTGAGTGCTGATTGGTACCACTGTAGTGAAGTATGATAAAGAAATACCTACCTACGCCTTAGATGACAAAGCAATGCATCTCTCTGCAACCGGAAAGCCAGGCAGCAGGAGCAGCAGGAGGTTAGAAATTCAAGGTCTTTTTTTTTTTTCTTTCTTTCTTTCTTTCCTTTTTTCTTTCTTTCTTTCTTTCTTTTTTTTTTAAGACAGGGTCTCTAGAGTAAGCCAGGCAAGACTCAAACTCACAGTCCTGGGTCATCTTGACTACATAGTGAGTTTAAGTCAGCCTTGTCTACAAACAAAACCAGGTTGATTTGATGCCATTTAAACTACATACATCTAAATAACGTGTAAAATAATTCTACATCTAAGGCTGGGTATGGTGGCACACACCATTAATGCCAGCCAACATGTGGAGCCAGAGGCAGGAGGATCTTTGTGAGTTTGAGGTCAGTGGCCAGCCTGGTTTACATATCGAGGGCCAAGACAGCCAAAATTATACAGTGAGATTTAAAAAAAAAAAAATTGCCGGGCGTTGGTGGCGCACGCCTTTAACCCCAGCACTTTGGAGGCAGAGGCAGACAGATTTCTGAGTTCAAGGCCAGCCTGGTCTACAGAGTGAGTTCCAGGACAGCCAGGGCTACACAGAGAAACCCTGTCTCGAAAAATAAAAAAAAAAAAAATATCCCCAGTGCCAGGAAGTAGAGATAAGCAGATCTCTGGGGATATCTGGCCGGGAAGTCCATGGTGGAGCTGGCCAGCACCATGTCCCAGTGAGAGACCCTGTCTCAAAATGCCTGAAGGAGTCAGGAACGCACACATAGGTGCACCCATGCGAACATGCTCTGCAACACACCTAAATTCCAAGAAAAACTCAAAAAATAATATACATCTGACCAAAAAAAAAAATCACATTTGGTCTGTTTTCTTAAACAAGAAAAAATAAGACATGATCTAATTTTGGAAAATGGCCGAGGCCATTTTGCGCTCATTTGCCACCTGGTGGACACAATTAGAATTGCAAGGAACCTCAGCTCCTCATTAAACCAGAAAGGAGATGTAGGCCGAGCGTCTCCATTTTGATGAGGAAAATTCACTCCTTGAATTTTTGCAGGTCAAGACCATGACCAGTTTATCTAAACTCTTTTTTAAAAAAAGATTTATTTTTATTATTTTGGGTGCTGGAGCGATGGCTCAGCAGTGAACACTGGCTGCCCTCGAAGAGGACCCAAGTTCAATTCCCAGCACATAGTGGCTCACAACTGGCTGTAACTCCAGCTCCAGGGAATCTGACGCCCTCTTGTGGCCTGTTTATTCTGTGATGCGTAAAAGGTTAGGAGGAGGTACCAGGACATCAAGACCAAAGGAAAAAACTCAAAGAGTCTTTTGGACAAGACACCCAGAAGCACCACATCCAAGTCCTGCACCGATGTCACTTTCTGTACTCCAGCTTGTGATGTGCGGTGTGGTGCCTCCGTGGTCCTCCCTGCCCATGAGGAAGAAGACCTCTCTCAAGAGCAACTCATTTGGTCTATCTGGAAAAATTGAAGGCACTGTTTAATTAGCACCTGCTGTATACCATAATGGCATCTGCAGGTGTTCTGGGCTCTCAACAGCAGAACAGAGATGGGTTTTTACCGTCCTAGGGAGTCACTTTGTGCCCTGAAATGGCTCAAGCCTTTCTTTGAAAGGGTGTGGAAGCTGCCCCTGCAGAGCAGGTAAGGACAGGCCCACGGTTGGCTCCTGGCTTCACTCTCAGGCTCTGAGGAGAAGGGAAAGACCAAAGGTATGATTCACCCTGCTTAAATTCTAAACAGACTTTAAGAATACAAGGAAGTGTATCCTACCAAGGGCTGACCTAATGTTCCAGAGACTTCTCTTAGGGGGCCCATAGCACCCCTAGCCTTGCCAAGTCCAGAGCTAGCTGTCACGCCAGCCCAAGTTCCCATGGAGCACTGACAACCGAGGTAGCAGTAAAGGCAGAGCTGAGAGGCCATAGGTCTGGCCAAGAGCCAGCTCAGCTCCACCCTCCCTCTCCCCACATCCAAAAGTAGTATGTTTTTTCTACTCTGCAAATGCTTTTCATTCTTTTTTCAAGACAGGGTTTCTCTTCGCAACCTGGCTGTCATAGAACTCACTCCATAGACCAGGCTGGCCTCAAACTCTGAGACCCACCTGTCCCCCCAGTGCTGGGATCAAAGGCAGAACCCACCACCCGGCTGTCGACTTTGCAAATCCTCAAGTACTTCACCCATGCCTTTCCCTTGAGTCAGACTGAACCCTTGCCTCCTCCCTTCTCTCCCCTCTCTGAGCCCAACCTTATCCAGATCATTTCTGGTCACACCGTCCCAGAATGGTCTAGAGTCACTTCATCTAACGTTTGCCTTCCTAATTAAGTCTGGCATTAAATTTTTAAAAAAGAATATGCATCTGTACATGACTTTATGAGCACTGTGTGCATGCAGTGCCCATCGAGACCACAAGAGGGCGGCAGATCACTCAAAACTAGTTACAAGTAGCTGTGCGCTAACGTGTATTTAGGGGAAAGTATTGATTCCCTAATTGGTTTTTGATTGTGTCAATAAAGGAGGCAGAAGCTAATCATTGGGTGAAGGGGAAAAGATGGGACTTCTGGGTCCCAGGAAGAAGAAAAAGGTTCGAGAGGGAGGAGTCAGAGCAGGCGGTTGAGCAGAGGATGTGGCAGACATGTAGGTCTCAGGGCACCAGTAGTTTGTAGCCTCCGCCATGGGCGAAGGCCAAGGAGGACAGGGCAAGATATTCTTCACTCAGACATTGAGTTATCTGGCTATCTGGTGTTTTCCATCTGCGATGACTAGGACAGGCAGGGGAAAGGCACAGCTGGGGCAGTCTTTGGCGGCTTGGCCGGAGCTAGCCTCGAGAGGTTGTAGGAGTTACGGCAGAGCTCTGGAGAAAGAGCTAGCGTGATTTTAAAATCACACGCAACCGGCTGGAGAGATGGCTCAGCGGTTAGGAGCACTGACTGCTCTTCCAGAGGCCCTGAGTTCAGTTCCCAGCGACCACATGGTGGCTCACAACCATCTGGAATGGGATCTGATGTACTCTTCTGGTGTGTCTGAAGACAGTGACAGTGTACTCACATAAATAAATCTAAAAAAAAAAAACAAAAAAAACAAAAAAGGATTCTTCTATTTAAAAAAATTACACACAATACATGTAGGTGCTGGGACTTGAACCAAGGTCCTCTATAAAGAGTAGCCTGTGCTCTTAACTACTCTTAGATACCCTTAGATAGGATCTCTTCGGTCTTTGTCTTCCTCCCTCTACCTGCTGAGTAACGTGCTTATAAACTTGTGCCTCCAAGCTTGGCCTGGCTAGTGGGGAGTTTGAAGGGATGGAACCGTGAGATTCCCCCTAAGGTACTTTGCTGGCTTGCTAACGGCAAACAAGGATGCCCAGTTGAATTGGAATTTCAGGCACACAGGTGAATAACATTACACATGCTCTAATTATATTTTGTTTGAAAATCGTATTTTGGTAATGATTTTTTTTTGAGTTGGGATACCTCTCTGTCTGTGTATCTGTGTATCCCTGGCTGGCCTGGAACTCACAGACATCCATCTGCCTCTGCCTCCTGAGGGCTAGGTTAGAAGTGTGGCCGTCACACCTGACAGGGATAGTGGGTTTATTTGTTTGTTTGTTTGTTTGGTTTTGGTTTTTCAGACAAGGTCTCATGTAGCCCAGGCTGGCATGGTTCTCACCATTTAGCCCAGGCTGGTCTTGAACTGTCCATCTTCAAAGGATGGGATTATAGCCAAACCCCACAGTGCCTGGTTCAGGGAACTTTATTTATTTATTTATTTATTTATTTATTTATTTATTTATTGTTATTTGTGAGTTTAAACACATTTCAACAATCTAGAGCAGGGCTCAGCAAAATGTACTTGTGTGTGTGTGTCTGTGTGCGTGTGTGTCAGAAGTTAACTGCAGCTGTCATTATCCATTGCTGGTTGTGGTTTATTTTTATTTTATGTGTATGGAGATGCTTGCTTGTATGTATGGTGGCTATAGAGGGCAAAGGGGACAGACTTGATGCCCCTTTTGGGTTTCTTGTGTGCTTGGGCACACTCCTGTGCATATGCTTGTTTTTTTTTTTTTTTTTTTTTTTTTTAGTTTTTCGAGACAGGGTTTCTCTGTGTAGCCCTAGCTGTCCTGGAACTCACTCTGTAGACCAGGCTGGCCTCAAAGTGCTAGACTTACTTATTTTTATGTATGTGAGTACACTGTAGCTGTCTTCAGACACACCAGAAGAGGGCATGGGACCTCATTACAGATGGTTGTGAGCCACCATGTGGTTGCTGGGAATTGAACTCAGGACTTCTGGAAGAGCAGTCAGTGCTCCTAACCGCTGAGACATCTCTCCAACCCCTCTTTTCTTTTCTTTCTTTCTTTTTTCTTTTTCTTTTTTTTTTTTTGGTTTTTCAAGACAGGGGTTCTCTGTGTAGCTCTGGCTGTCCTGGAACTCACTCTGTAGACCAGGCTGGCCTCAAACTCAGAAATCTGCCTGCCTCTGCCTCCCAAGTACAGGGATTAAAGGCTTGTGCCAACACTGCCCAGCTGTGCATATACTCTTGCTCACACACTTAAACAGTAAAAAATTTAAAACGAGAAATAAATAAAAGGTGAGAAATTCTCAGGGCAGGTGAGATGCCTCAGCAGGGAGGAGCCCTTGATGCTCTTGCAGAGGAATTAAGGTCATTACCTAACTAACATCCATGTTGGGCAGCTCACAAGCACCAGAAAATCCAGCTCTAGAACAAACCCAATGCCTCTGACCTCCTTGGCCTCCTGTACTCATGCATATAAACACACAGAGAGACATACACACATACATATAATTTAAAGTTTAAAAAAAAGTATTTTTTAGCTGGGCGGTGGTGGCGCACGCCTTTAATCCCAGCACTTGGGAGGCAGAGGCAGGCGGATTTCTGAGTTCGAGGCCAGCCTGGTCTACAGAGTGAGTTCCAGGACAGCCATGGCTACACAGAGAAACCTTGTCTCGAAAAACCAAAAAAAAAAAAAAAAAGAAAGAAAGAAAGAAAAAAAAGAAAAGTATTTTTTGAGACAGGGTCTTTCTATGTAATTCTAGCTGTAGGAACTTGCCATATAGACCAGGCTGGACTTCAACTTACAAACATCTGCCTGTCTCTGCCTCCTGAGTGCTGGGCTTAAAGGCTTACCCCAACCGACATCCCCCACAAGAGTGATTTTTATCTTTCATCGATTTACAAATAAAAACTCCGTTCTTAGCTCGAGGTTTGTACAGGAAGAAGTGTTAAGCTCATTGCTAGAGCAGAGTGTTTGGTTCACAAACTTTGATGCGAATCAGGCTGGCATGGTAAGGCAGGCTTGTAGTCCCAGCTTCCTTGAAGGCTAAGGGGAGAGGATTTCCCCGGACTGCAGAGGAAGTTCAAGGCCCATGTGGACAACTCGTGTGACCCCATCTAAAAAATCAAAAGTAAAAAGAGTGTTGGGGATGTCATTCAGCAGAATATTCTCCCAGCATGCATAAGGACCCAGGCCCAGTGTCCTGATCCACAAAAACAAACCAACAATAAGACATCCACCAAAGCTAGTGTGGTACCATACAACTGTGCTCCAAGAATTGAGGAAGTTGAAGCAGGAGGATCAGGACTTTGAGGCCAGCCTAGGTTATGTGAGACCCTGTCTCAAAAATCCAACACAAAGAGGCTAGAGAGATAGCTCGGCAGTTATGAGCAGCGTTTGCCCTTCAGGAGGACCGGAGTTTGGTCCCCAGCACTCACATTGTGCCTGAAAGCGTGCTGTAACTCAAGTCCAGGGATCTGACACACTCTTGTAGCTTTACTTGTGGTGACCCCCCCCCCCCCAAACCATGAAATTATTTCATGGCTACTTCATTAACTGTAACTTTACTGTTACCAATTGTAACGTAAACATCTGATATATGACCCTGTGTGGGTCACAACCCACAGACTGAGAACCACTGTGGTGGAGGGAGGGAACGGAATCGGTTTAAGTTCTCCTCTGACCTCCACACTCTCACTGGGTATTGGAGTGCTCCGACACAGAAACACAGAAACAGGGGGAATAACCAATGGTCAGCCTTTAACACTTGAAGTGGACACATTGAAACAGTTATCCATCTGTACAGGGTACTATGTATTGTCGTGATACATGTATACATTGCGTAATGTTTAAGTCCTTAAACTAAATCAGTTCATCAAACATGTATCATTTCTTCTCCCTCTCTTTTGAGACAGAGTCTTACTATGTAGCTAGCCCAGTTTGGCTCTACCTACCTTCTTGCCTTAGCCTTCAGTGCCCTGGTTACAGATACACACCTTTTATAGCACTTCTTAGTGGTTTTGGGAAAAAAGTGGAAGTGTTACAAAACCCAAATCCATTTACATGCCGCTGGAGAAGAGGCACCATGAACTGAGGCCAAAATTGTTGGTGCAAAGAGGAATGCCCGTAAATAAGGCAACCACCTGGTGGGAGAACTTATTTATTTATTTACTTATTTATTTATATAGAGTTTCTACATAGCCTCTGCTGTCCTATGTAGTTCAAGATAACCTCGAACTCAAAGAGATCCTCCTGCCTCTGCCCCAGAGTGCTGGGATTAAAAGTGTGTACCTTTAGCTCCTTGTCACTCTCGCCGCCTATTTAGCACTCATTAACCCCGTGCTGGGCGAGTAAATCTGTACAAAAGAAAGGTAATGATAACGTCTAGCGCCGTGTGAATATTAAAAACAACCTACTTAAACAGTTTGAACTAGTGTCTAGACACGCACAGAATTGAGGACAGAGAAGGGGCGGAGGAGGGCTCGTAAGCTTTTTCTACAGTTTCACTCTTGGGCAAGCACTTTCCCAGGGCTCACACTCAACAAGTTCCTGGTTGCTCCACAATCAAGGTCAAGGCCAACTGGTTCTTCTAGATGTAGGATTGAGCCGCATTCTCGCTTTCCACGCCTCTCCCTCTTACCGGGAAACAGCCTTCCGCAGCGACATCTGCCCCTAGGGTCCAGACGATTCCGCTGGCAAAATCAAACCACAGCGCCAATTAAAGGGGAGGCGAGCCTCCCCTTCCACGCAGGCGCACTAGGTCGGAACTGCCCTCCGCTATCGCGATACGTCGGCGAGATCGACGCTGGCCCTTTAACGGCCCCTTCCCGGGGGCCTGACCAGCGCGTGCGTACTGCGGTTCTGCGCTTGTCATCATGGCGACGCGGGGCCATGTGCAGGACCCTAACGACCGGCGCCTCCGGCCCATTTACGGTGAGTACCCGAAGCCGGCCTGTTAACCACCGCAGCAAGCCGAGGCCTGCCCTGGCCGGGGCGAAGGCCCAGGAGGGCCGCTGGGGGCGCGCGCGGTGCGAGGCGACGAGGGGGCGGACCGCGCGGGGCGCTAGGCCGCAGCCTCGGCCTCGCTTATGCGCCGGCCCGGCGTTGCTGCTCCCTGAGGCGACAACGGTGTGTGCGCTCAGCTGTCAGGCCGCGCGGGTCGCGCCACTGCTTGGAGACCAGCGCTACCACCAGGTTGCTTTATTCCAGTCGCTCCCGAGGAGCCCCGCGGTCTTTCTTGCAGGTGACAACCGGCTCCAGCGTGACGGTGGTGGGAGCGCCTCCCTGATGGGAGATGCCCCAGTGATGGTGGTTCTGGTTACCAGGCTGAGGATCCGGGGGTTGTCTTACGGGATGTAGTCTAGTGCACTTGGAGAAACTGAGGCCGAGAGAAGGGAAGGGGCTGATGCAAGGTCACTCAGATCGAGCCTCATCCTGATGCTTGCTTGCTCAGTGCAGGAACAGCTGCTCTGGGCACACGTGGGAGGCGGGGGGGAGGGGGTCGCGGGCCCAGAATAGCTGGGAAGAGACGGCAGTAGCTGGTGTCGTCGTCGGAGCGGCCGGCCAGGCTGCTGGAAGGGTTTTCCTTTCAGCACCGTGTCTGAGGTTTCTCTCTGCAGCTTGGCTTCCTCGTGCTTACATGCCTAGTGGATCCCTCTCCACGGCGCGCATCCCAAACCCACAGGCTTTAAGGTGTACCTTATTGTCATCTTCCCCACCGCAGTAGAATAAAAGAATCACAGAACCGAGTCAGAGAGAAACACTTTGCAATAACTGAGATGTTCTGTCATTGGAAGTGGTGCCTTCTCTTTTGCGATGCCTCTCCTCGTTGATGGGTGTGTGGTCTTGTCTCAGGTACTGATGAGGAAGGAAGCTTTAGCAAGGTCAGTGGATTTTTTTTTTTTTCTACAGTAGACCTCACGTTTTCTCTGCGGCTATGTGTTTTGGCCTCTTTCGTTTTGGGTTATTTTTTTTTCCCCTCTTGGCAGAGTGGGTGCTTGTGTCTCTAGCAAATTATATGTGGGGTTTTGCCAGTTTGATGTCTGTGCACCATGTGCGTTCCTGTTGCTTGGAGAGGGCCTCAGGATCCCCTGGAACTGTAGTTACAGACCAATAAGCCAGGATGTGGGTGCTGGGACTGGGACAGGACCTCACTATGTAGCCCTTCACTGCATGGAACTCCTAGAAATCACCTGCTTCCTGCCTTCTGAGTGCTGGAATTAAAGGTGTGGGCTACTAGGCCCAGCTGCTCTTTTCTTTTTCTTTTTTTTTTTAAGACAAGGTAGAACAGCTGGAAGCAAAGCTGCAGCTATCCTGCCTCTGCCTCCCAACTGTTGGAAATACAGGCATGTGGCCCTATGCCCAGTAGTCAGACTTTCATGTGTGTTTGATGGCATTTTTTTTTAAAATTACGTTTGTTGAAATATATTTTGGGCGTGTGTGGTGGGGTGCGGCCACACGAATGGTATTTATTGTGTGCCAATAGTGTTCAGAGGATACTATGCAAGAGGGAGTTGGTTCTCCCCTATCATAAAGGTCCTGGGGATATCGTAAAGGTTGTCAGGAATGGTAGCAACCTCCAGAGCCATCTCAATGTCCTTAAGGTGCTATGTTGTGTGATGGCTTGCTTACCTTCCCATCACCTGTTTCTAGCAGTAATGGCTCTGCGCAGTGGATAATCATGAATTCAGAACACTTAATCCAGTCAGTGCCCTTGAGTCAGTGCCCTTGTGCACGGGCACACACACACACACACACACCTTAAACAGCTGGAGCAGTGAGCTCGCTGCTCTTAAGAGGTTTAGCTAGCTCTAATACATCCTGGACTTGGGATTTGAACTCCAGGCTCACTGTCTTAACCACTGTGCTGGAAATTGCATCACTCTGATTCGTCTAAGATCACAGAGGTGGGGGCTAGCAGAAAGAGGACTCAGATTTCCCCTTTGCTGCACATCCTGCCTTTGCAGGCCCCCTATGGACCAGGCTTGTCTCTGGCTTGCAGCTGTTCTGCTTCTGGGTAATAGAAAGTAAAACCTAAGAGAAGGGTTCATGGTTTGTGAATCACATCCTTACACAGACACTGCCTGCTGACTTCTCCTTTTTCTGAAAAGTATTTTATAGAAAGACTAAAACCTTTTAAAGAATAATTAGCCAGGCAGTGGTGGCGCACGCCTTTGATCCCAGCACTTGGGAGGCAGAGGCAGGTGGATTTCTGAGTTTGAGGCCAGCCTGGTCTACAGAGTGAGTTCCAGGACAACCAGGGCTACACAGAGAAACCTTGTCTCGAAAAACCAAAAAAAAAAAAAAAAAAGAATAATTAGATTTATAACATTGTTCTTGAAGACCAAGGAGAACGCTGTTGGTCTTATGTTCAGTTACAGTTAATAGTGTTTTGAATTGTTCAATAAAAAGCACCATTTCACATTGCCAAACATCAGGATATATTTATTAATCAGAGTGACAGGTCGTATTCACAAAGTGAAGTCTGAATTATGTGGCTTTTGTTCCAGCTAGTAGAGAGAGTAGAGGAGGGCTTCTGAGGGGCTAATATAAAGGGGATAGCCTTGTTACAGGCTTTGAACTCACAGTTCCTGAATTTTGTTGTTCAAACACATTGATGCTCCTAAACAACTACTAGTCCTTAAATCCAGACAGCACTAGCTGAGCCATGAGCAAGCTCATCAGCACGGAGCACAGCCACAGATTGATGCTCAGTGTTAACTGAGAGCTAGTCGCTGTAGGGAACCGAAGGCTGGACAGATTCCTGGGCTCGGGCTGTAAGGAGGGAGTTGTAGGGTTGGGGTTGAACACAGACTTCTATAGTCCAGACTGGCTGGGAGCTCCCTAAGTTTCTCCTGCTGGTCTCAAGACTCTCCTGTCCCAGTCTGAGTGCTGGGATTAAAGGCTAGAGCCATCCTCTGCCTTTTTGAAACAACCTCTTGCTGATTCTCACCTGTTGACACTTTAGTCTGAGTTGGGGAGCCTGGTGCTTTTTTCCTGCTGTTCTTGCCTATGTTGAGGCTGTGAGATAGCTCAGTGCAGAGGCACTGGCTGCCTCTCCTGGTCATCTGAGCTCCATCCTGGGAACCCACATGCTCTTAGGAGAGAGCCTTCTCTGGGAAGTTATCCTCTGACTCTCGTACGCACAGCACTAACCTGTCAACACACACATGCACACCCACAATCCTTTGTTCTAGTCTGTTGTGCATTGCAGTCTTGTCTTAGGTAGGGTCAGGTGTAGCATGATTACAGCAGACTCTCCAATGACAGTCACTTCATTGATGAGTTAGGATGTTTCCCTTGGATGTCTAGTCAAACCGTAAGGCAGGTAATTATTTTGCTGTAGCTCATTAGTAAAAACTTGAAAGGTCTTCAATCAAGGGTAATTATGTATTCCGAGTCTTTTGTTGGGCAATGTTAACTGTGTGAATCTTAGTAGTGACAAGGTATTATTTATTGTGACTGATGACTGTGTGTGTGTGTACACATGTGGATGTATGATGACTGTGTGTATGTACACATGTGGATGTATGATGACTGTGTGTGTACACATGTGAATGTATGATGACTGTGTGTACACATGTGGATGTATGATGACTGTGTGTATGTACACTCATGTGGATATATGACTGTGTGTGTGTACACATGTGAATGTATGACTGTGTGTGTACACATGTGGATGTATGATGACTGTGTGTGTGTACACATGTGGGTGTATGACTGTGTGTGTACACATGTGGGTGTATGACTGTGTGTGTGTGTACACATGTGGATGTATGACTGTGTGTGTGTGTACAAATGTGGATGTATGATGACTGTGTGTGTGTGTGTACACATGTGAATGTACATGCATGTAGAGGCCAGAGGCCAGCCTTGGGTATCATTCCTCAGGTACCTTCTGCCTTGCTTTTTTGACTCTGGGTCTCTTTGGCCTAGCACTTGCCAGGTAGCCTAGACTTCCACCAGTCTCCCAGGGACTGACCTGTCTCTGCCTCCTCAGCACTGGGACACAAATGTGCCACAAATGTGTCCATCCTTTCTACTTGATTCTGGGGTTCAAACTCCGCTCTCATCTGTCTGCATGACCAGTACTTTACCTCCTGAGCTATTATGCCAGCCTGTTTGACTTTCTGTGGAAATTTCACTTGGTACAATACCCTTTCTTAGCTGGGCAGTGCTGTTCCATGTCTTTAATCCCAGCACTTGGAGGCAGAGACAGGCAGATCTTTATGCATTCAAGGCCATCTTGGTCTACAGAGCAAGCTCCAGGACGTCTGGAACTACATACAGGACTACTGCTGTAGCCAAGGCTACAAAGCCTGGGGGGGAGGATATGTACAAAAAAAAAACCAAACTAAACCAAAAAAACACCCAACATTTTTTTGTTTGTTTGTTTGAGACAGGGTTTCTCTGTGTAGTCCTGGCTGTCCTGGAACTCACTCTGTAGACCAGGCTGGCCTCAAACTCAGAAATCCACCTGCCTCTGCCTCCCAAGTGCTGGGATTAAAGGCGTGCACCACCACCGCCCGGCTTCATTTTTTTCTTCTGTAGTGAGAATATAAACACTCAAAAAGCCATGTCTACGTAGGGATGTAGCTCAGTGATAATGTTTGTCCAGTGTGTATGCCACAGGGTCAGTCTTTAGCACTGGGGATAGGGAGAAAAGAAAACAATTCTTGGAAAAAATTTTACCTGGGATAGAGGATTATGGAGACCTGCTAACCTGTTAACCCTGAGAGTTAACAGGAGTCCTGTAGACCAGGCTGGCCTGGAATTCATTGAGATCTACCTGCCTCTGCCTCCTGAGCACTGTGATCAAAGACGTGCGCCACCACACCCTGCTGTAATCATAACTTTACTTATTTTATTTTTATATTGAGTACACTGTCACTCTCTTCAGACACAAGAAAAGGGCATCAGATCCCATTCCAGAT